TCTACACAAAAATGATAAGTGTCCTAACGCCTATTATCCATAGTTTTTCATTCAGAAAACCTTGTCTAAGACTGAAACCAAAGACATATTCTGAAAACTCTTGAAAATTTCTATAGCTCTAGCTGAAAACATAATTCAAAAAATCACAATTGATTGACTTCCGACTAGAGAGCTGCGGGTCCTTCCAGACCCGGGCCCGGACCCGAGTCCGACCGGGTCCGGGTCTGAAAATTTAGCTTTTACCGGGCCCGGGTCCGGATCTAAACCTAAGAGGAAAGTCAGACCCGGTCTGCATTAAGTTATGAATGAAAACATATAACAATAACAATTGAAGTTAACAAAATTGAAAAAGAAACAGTCAGAAATAATTCTACACTCATTTGACCTTTAAAGTCTCCACTGAAGAGCTAAAATTGTGTTCCCTTTTCTGTTCATGTACACATAGGGTGTCAAATATTGGTGAAAAGAGGATCGGGTCTAGACCCGGCCGGGTCTGGGTCCGGACTCAGCCGGGTCCGGGTCTGAAAATTTAGTTTTTTCGGGGCCCGGGTCCGGGTCCGGGTCCAAAAAAACATGGGCCCGCAGCTCTCTACTTCCGACTGATGGCACCAGAAGCTATGTACACCTGACCTGTCACTATGATTTCTCATAAACTGAAGCATAGGGGAACTTGAGTTTTTCAGAAGTGAATCATCATCTTTAGGCTAGTAAAACAAAACAAGTTTATTAAAATTGGTTGACTAGAACTCGACTTATAGCGCATGATGATCTAGTGGCAAAGCAATATGAAAAAAAAAAGTTTGTATTAATTGTTGTTTTAATCACGTTGGTGTTGTTAAATTCGTTTCATGATTTTGATTATCGTCCGATGCTAATGTTGGTGTTTCTAACTCATCTGATTCAATGAGTTCGTCAATTGTAACTTTTCTAACTATTGATTCTCGATTTTTTCGTTCATTTCGACGTCGTTCAACATTAGTTCGGAAACCTTTTAAACCCATTCGACTCAAATTAAGTTCACGTTGACGTTGTGCTGTTGTTGTTATAGGATGATAATCTTTTGGACGATCTTTTTTTATATCAATTGATGTATTAGCTTCACTATTTGCTATTGATACATTAAATATACCAAGAAAATATTTTGTAATGCCATCAAATATATCAAGACAATGTATACGATCATGTTCACATATTGGTAAATCCATAGCGGCAAGTGCTAATTGATTTGGTTTAGGAATACGTAATGGTGGTTGAAGACCATCAATAAAATCTGATAATTGATCATATCGTATAAATTGTGAACCTGATGGATCTAAACGTTGCCATTTTTCATAACACATATCATAATCATCATGAGTCAAGCCCTAAACAAAAAAAAACAAAATCGAAAAAAAAAGAACTATTTTTGCATCTATTTACTTGTTGTACATCTTCTTGTGCTTGAGAAAAATTTTCTAGTATTACTGCAATATACATATTTACCTAAATAATAATACAAAATCAGAAAATTTCAAAATAAAAGTTTTTTAAATTCTTACCACAACAAGAGAAGTAATTATTACATAACTTATAAGATATGATGTTGCAATAATTTTATCACCACAATCACCTTTATGTGATGGTGAAATTATAGTTGGATCACAATCTGGTGGTTGATCATTTGTTAATGCTTGAAAAACATCAGACCAACCAGCATTTGTACATATGTGAAAAAGTACAATCATTGAATTAGGAAATGTTTCAAAATTAAATAAATCTGTTATACCAGCTGATTTTCTTACATAAGCAAAAAATGACATACCAAATATTGAATAGATAAACATGATAAGAAAAAGAAGAAGGCCAATATTAAACAATGCAGGCATCGAAACAGCATATGCAAACATTAATATTCGAATACCTTTTGCTGTTTTATTTAAAAACAAAATGAAAATAAAAACTTTAAAAAAATCTACGATTCATTCATTCCTATTAAATTGAACCTTTCACAAGACGTAATATTCTTCCAACACGTGCAACACGAACAACACGTAATAATGTTGGATTAATAAAATATTTTTCTATAATTTCTTCTAATAGTCCTCCTAGAAAGAAAAACAAAAGAAATAACATTTTTAATAAAAATGAATAAGAAAAAAAACGACATACTAAGAATTGATGCAATTACAATGATAAAATCAAATAGATTCCATGGAATAGTAAAATATTTAAAATTTAATGCAATTAATTTCATAACACATTCAATAGTAAATCTAAATTAGTATATCAATATATAACAGAGACAATAGCCAATCTCATAAATCTTAAACATTATAGATTTTAGTTCTATGTAATCAATAATTTTTGTTTCTGACAATCGAATTGAACAATTATTTTTTACATATTACTTAGGACACATCCAAAGTAATGATATTGTGTACTGCATTTAACATTCAATGAAAATTGATTTATGATGAATTATATTTTATTTTTTGGCGACCAGGCTCCACTTTACAATACATTTGCCAGATGATCAAAAGGGTGTTATTGATGATGATTCTCATCTTACTATTAGTAAAATACAAGTAGAAACTGGTATGAAACCATCGATCATTGCCTGAAATCTCTTCTCATCACAGAAATTCAGACGAAAAGACCAGTTTTCTAGTACGCATTCCATAAAACTTCACTACGACAACGTCAAACCACATGCTCATAATGGTATTTCGAACTATCTAGAATCGGAAGT